GTGTATGTATGAGAGAGAGAGAGAGATTAAGGTTCAATCCTTATATAACTTTGTCTAGGTAGTCGGGCATCTTTTTTTCCCCCAATTCCTATCTCTGTTGTTTTCAACAAGAAATCTGTATAATTGAAAAAATTCAACATTGATTAAAGACATTTTATTCAGTATTGCTGATCATACTCAATATTGTAGTAAAGGTGGTGGTGCTACTTGTTGTATTTGCACATAAAAGCCATCCACAGATTAAAAAAAACAAACAATTCATAATCCTGAAATACTGTATAGTTCAGTTTTCAGAAAGCAAAATAAAATGAAAAGTGTATTATGTGTTCACATATCTTTGAGTTTGTGTATCTGCGGTTATTCTTGGGCATCACCTTACAGGTCTGTGTAGCACTTCAAAGCCCTTCAAAAAAAAAAAAAACGCAGCATACATGGAACAGTTACTGTTGAGTCTGTGGTTATGGTGCACAGCGGTATGCCAGGTAACTTCTAAATCACCTTTCAACAACATTTATTAACATTGACTATTGGATTCCCCTCTAAGCTTTTCACAAGGACAGAATTGCAAGGAACATTATATATTTGTTATAAACAAATTATTTTAAAAATACTTCCTTTCCTTTTATGGCACAAACTTGTTTGTAGTTTCAGGAGTTAACTACACAACAATGGCAAAATATTTTTATTTTTATAAATAAGTGTTTGAATCACTATGCAAATGTGAATGGAGTTGAACTACCAGAAAACTACTGAAAAAATGTTGCTAAACTGCTAGTTTAATTACACGTGGTCCATTACTCCCCAACAGTGCCTGTTGATCCTCAACACTCAGTCCTCACCAGTGATATCCATAAACAACCCTCTGCTCCTCCTCCCTCACTTTCTCTGATGTGCAAAATTGTCTGCGAGGGACTGTTGAATAATTTATCAGCCTGGTGATGGCGCTCTGTGACACTGCACTTAGTGTGTTTGCTTGTTTTATTCACTCCGTGTGTGTGTGTGTGTGTGTGTGTGTGTGTTTGTGTGTGTGTGTGTGTGTGTGTATTTTTGTATTTAGGGACAGAGCTGAGATTGTGTTTGGAACGAGCAAGACAGCACACACACTATTGACCAGGTTGAATAGAAAGAAACTCAGCTGAAAAGGCACTAGCACTGATAGCTGCCAGAGAGGATGAATGGCTTTAATAGAGAAAACTTCAGGCTTTGCTCCAGAGGGGCAGACACACACACACACACAGTGACCCCTCTGGATTCACAGGATTGCTCTAAAAAGCCTTCACACTGAATGAGGGATGATCAGTGTGTGTGTGTGTGTGTGTGTGTGTGTGTGTGTGTGTGTGTGAGAGAGAGAGAGAGAGAGAGACCAGTGCTGTGCGTGTGTGTGCTTGCATACGTCTATTTATTTTTTATTTTTTAATTACCCTTTCAGGCATACTGGTAATACTTTACCTGATGACTTGTTCAGGTAGCACATTATTATTTCCTGTATGAAAGCCACATAGTGTAACTGCATCCTTGCAGGCTCCTAAAAGAAACTGGCTAGTAATATGTTTAGGCTTTCATTTATTAATTTGAAGTTTACTTAGCCAAGTTAAAATTTTACATTTTCTTTATTTATAAATTTTGCTTTTGAACTTCCACAACATAAGTGGAGTACCCACTATGAGGTTTTGGGCTGTTAAGGCAGCAAAAGGGAATCGCTTCAAATAAACTACAGATTTTAAGTTGGTGGATAGGCCACATTTGTCTTGTATTTGTCCCTCAATCCACCAACACCTACATTTATGTTGGCATTAGCCTTAAACTAATCTGAGAAGATAACAGTCTTTGGTCTGCGTGTTTGTATGCATGCATGTCTTAATAGTGTCACTAAGCTCCTGAGATGAGAGCTGCCCCGAAGTCTCCAAATCCTGCGTTACAGTGTAGAGTATGTATTCTTCACTTTGTGAAAATGAGTCACTGCTATAAAAATCCACATCATGCCGCCCTGGCAAAATAATCAGGGCATAATGTTTAGTTTCTTTCAGTTTCACTGGATTAGTTTATTTTCATCTTTATTTTCATTTTGTGTATTGTGGAAATCGCCTCATTTGGTTGTATCAGTTTTATTTAAAACAATATTTCACATTGGGATTTGAAGAACACCTACCTCCGACATGACTCATCAAAAACCCACCATCTTTATTCACCATCAGTCACTCTGGGAATCATCGAGTGTTTGAATTTGTGAGCACTGAGTCTCATTATCATTGATTTAATTTGGGCAAGTCAGGTCTCAAAGACAGAAAAAGTACATTTGTGTGTTGTCCTTTAAATGTGTACATTAGTTCAGATTCACAGAATATATTGACTTGAAGTAGTAGTCAGTAGGGTTCAGTTTTGTTTGTAGATCACCAGTTCACATCAAAAATCATCTCGCTTTACATGGAGAAATCCCCAACAAACCCCCCTGAGCAAGCCCTTGATGACAGGGGAGAGGGAAGAACTCCCTTTAATGGAAGAGACCTCTGACAGACCCCAGCTCTTGGTGGGCGGCCATCTGCCTCGGCCGATAGGGGTGAGTGGACAGAGGAGAGAGAAAAGGAGATCATCAAGACACAACAAATAAGCAAACACTGGGTAGGTTGGTGTGACCGGTAACTGCTCATCAGAAACGAACAGATCTTGAGCTAGGGATACCAGCAGAAAGGCAGAGAGAGAGGAGACACAAAGTTAATGACATGCAATGGTGACATATAAATACAGGGAGAGTCGAGCAGAGGAGAGAAGCTGAGAGCATCATGGGAAGACCCCCAGCATTCCACATCTATAGTAGCCTAACTAAGAGAAGGCTCAGGGTCACCTGTGCCAGCCTCAAGTATAAACTTTTTCAAATAGGAAAGTTTTAAACCTAATCCACTGAATAATTTGCAGATTAAAAATGAAAATGATCATTAGTTTCAGCCTGAAATTTGTAAATTCATATAATCTCTTTAAAATACATTTCAGAGCCTTTGGAAGGTGGACATGTGTAAAAGACACAAACTCATGCGTGCACGGTTCCTAACTTTTTCTCTCTGTCTATATTTATCTTTCTCTTGTTAGTTTGACACAAATGCCAGGCAGGTTGGAGTGAGTGAGGAGAAGGAAAAGAACAGCCACAACTTTCCCAGAGGCTCTTGCAAGTGTCAGTTTGTGTTATAAATCATGCAGGGACAATCCAAAGGGGCAGAGTAAATTTTTATCTCTTCTCTCATCCCTCCATTCTCTCCTTCTTTTATTATTGAACGCGGCTCCTTTTGAGCGCTCAGCCTGCTGTTCGGCACAATCAAAAACGGAGATGAGGTTGAGAGGTGTGAAACTAATAAGACAATAGAGAAGAGTGGAAAAACATAAAATGGAAGAGGTGGAGGAGAAGGAGAAGGTGCTGTTCCAATTTGATTCCACACAGGAATTAAGTGACTCCAAGCAAAGGTCACAGGGTCATTTATACACAGAGTCTGGTCTGCTGTACTTCCTGATTGTCAGGCAGTTTGTCGACAGCAGTTGGCTTGATTGTCTGCTGGTCTTGTAAATGACAGTGTGCATGGTTCAGGGTCAGGTTGTTTTCAGTGGTTTGATGTGGGTACCATCTGCTTTTCATAATGAAACACAATTCAGTAGCTGTCAGCTCTTTCACATCTGTTGTGTATGTGTGGGTATACTGTCTGTCTGATTCTGTGTGTGTATGTGTGGGAGAAAGCAAAATATTGTGTTGTGCTTGCTTGTGGGCATGTGAAAGCTTATTTGTCCACTGTGCTCTGTAGTGTCCTTGAACTCATTTAAAAGAGGGAGAAAGAGTATGTGTTCAGCTTGAAATGGGAAGCACTTCCCTTATTTAAAAATTCTAAGACATTTAGTTTGAGATACCATCTGGCCAGTGCATTCTGGGATAGATGTCAGGCTGTGACAAGCAGGTATAGAAAATCACCTAACACAATTGTGGTTTCTGCATCTTATCACAAACTAAATAAGCTGATCCTTGCATCATTTAAAGATATGCACAGTGTGTTACCACCACCTGACTGAAAAGCCTAACAGCCGATACTGGTGATATTTCTAGTGACAGTACAGTGACAGAACTGAGACCACATTTCCTTTGAAGTTTGTGTTGTGGAGGTTGCATTATCGTCTTTCCTGAAGCTGATTGAACCATTACTGTGGATCCCGGAGTTGCTGAGAGGATAATAACTGACAATCATTAGAGATTTTCATTGGCTGTTGAGTCATTCCACCATCTGCTATTGTGAGGAAATTTTAAAGCTTTACCTCTGTTTGTACTGGAAGAACATCACTTCCTCTTACTCCTCTCATGTTTTATGAGCTGCAAAGCAGAAACCTTTTGTACTGTGAAGCAACCCTGAAAATTTCTTGTAAAATCTCAGTTGGTGGCACATGATACACAATGTATACATTACAGTGCAGAGGCTGCTAGATTTGTCAGTCATACTCTTGTTTGGTAAACTCACTATAAAAGAAGGGAAAACAAACCTAATTTTGGCATTTAGGTGTTTGCAGAAGTTGGGCTCAGTCAAAAAGAAGACTCAAGTTAAACTTTTAAAAATAATAAATAGAAGTATTCTGTTACATTGTCATACAAGAATCATTTTTAGATCTGCAATTAACGATTATAGAAGAATGAATCTAATAAGTTATCAGAATTTCCCTCTGGATCAGTTATCTATAATTGTTTGCTGTTTAAATGTCAGAAAATAATGAATAATACTGAACACATAGATTAAACTGCTTATTTTGTTCAAAGCCCACAGGTATTTCCAGAAGACCTGAAAATAGCATCTGCACATGACTTAGATGACCAACTGATGATCACGTTTTTTGCTAATGTTCTTTTGGTTGACTAATCAATCAATCCAATCATCATTTCAGTTGACCACATTACCACAGGCCCCATTTTCTAATGTATTTAACTTGCATGAATGAATTTAATCTGACTAATATTTTGTTTCTTTCTCTCACCTCAGGTGCAGTCTTATTCCAATCATGAGGAAAGTCGGCAAGAAGTCAACAGACTAAAAAGGAGGAGAAAAAGATAGAACTAGAGGGAGGAGGGCTAGTCTGACACCCACTATACACATTTTCTACAGGTAGGTTATATGTATACTGTATGACTCTTTGATGCTGTCTGGTTTGTTATTTTACTGTGTCAAAACACCTCATCATTCACTATCACATCTCTTCTTCATTTTTTAAAACTTTTAGCGCAACTTTCTCTATATAACTAAGCAAAATGTCTGAGAGGCTATTTTACAGGCAATTTATCTGGGAAGCAGATTGTTGTGAGCATCTGACAGACCAAGTCTCACTTGTCTCATTGAGGTCACCCTACAGTTCACTATGTACAGTCAAGGTATTGTTTGTGCATGTCAAAATCCTCTTCATGTTTCAGCCAGACAGCCATTGGTTGGCTGTAAACTGGGTCTCGTTTGCTTCACAATGAAAGCTCACTACTCTGCTGGCTCTCCGATGCACATAACAGCTAACCAACCTTCTGTCACAATGAATTACAGCTGTGTTTGGAAGGAGGCCAGGTTTCTCTGGCCCATACCACGGCCTTGTCAAGTTGTCTTTGTGTGCGTGTACACTTGTGATACCCTTTGTGTGGCAGCATAACCATTTGAGGTCAGTTATCCTAAAAGTACTAGGCATCTACACTTGCCTGTTCCTACTTTGTGCTGTCCTGTAATTGTTGCTTTTAATTTGCATCTAATATTTTTATGTAATTTGCATTATTTTAATGTTTTATCCATTTGTGTGCATTGTGTTAAGCACTTTCAATTGCCTTTGTGAATGAAAATGTGCCCTATAAATTAACTTGCCTTTCATTGCTTGTTGGCGGCATGCCAAAGAAAAAAAAAAGTTAAGATACTTTAAAGTGGAAGCCAGGCCAGTTTTTATAATTTGATGCTGACTACCTTGGTAAAAATGTGTATATTGCAGCTATAAATCACCTTTAATTTCTTGTAAAGACTGCAGTCATTGCGTTTATGCTTGTTAAATGACTCATATTTAAATATTGCAGTTGAATGTGGTGGATGATGGTACAGTAGTCATAAAATGCAGATTTTTGGTTTAATAATTCAAAACAACTTTTTCTACACATTTTTGTTTTGTTTTATTTTAAAACAGTTTATCAAAAAGCTTTCTTGCTCTGTAGTGATTTGAAGGAAGTCTGAGGTTATCTGTGGTTTGGAGTCTTTTTTTTGAATTGGGCAATAATGTAAATCCTTTTGTCAACATGTCGTCATTGCACAGAGAGCCAACAGCAATTATTGGATTCAGTGGAAAGTCAGGCATGTGTGTCCAAGTATACATTCTGTGCTGTGGGCAAATCTTACTGCTGACTCACACCCTGAGTGGGAAAAGAGCTTGTGGGGATTGGGCGTGATAGAGGGGAACAATCTGGGTTACAGACAGCGCTCGAAGCAAGATGAGGCTAATTTCAAATGTCTGACTTCCCCTCGCTGGCAGACTGGTAAACCTGAGGGCAGAGCACCTGTTAAATTCAGACTGACTATGGGTGTCTTCAGGAAGGCTTAGGGTAACTTAAAGGACCTGCACACCCATGGTCTATTTATATGGGTGCTTAATGTTTCTGCCTCAATAGACCTTTTTTTTAGGGCAGAGTTGATGTATACAAAATATACTTAATTGCAGGTGTAATTGAAGATATCAAAGGCAGGATAACTTACACTTTCATCATTCTTATTGGTATATTTAGATGGGTGACCACCTGTAATTTTCAGCCAAGCTCCACCCAACCTCAACCAGTAATTTATTCAGTCAGGTTGAATAAAATCTCCTGTGAGCAGTATTCACAACAAGGTGTGCCAGTTCTTTACTAGCTGCCTGTTCAGAAACATGGAAGACTTGTGAGACTGGTGACAGTGCGCCATAGTGTAGTGTTCCTGTTAAGGTCGTGGCATGATTTTAAAACGGAGTCTCACAAAAGAGAGTGAACTTTTTGTCACAGGTTCTTCATCTGATGGATTCATATGAGAATCATAGTAGCAGTGTAATACTCGGCTGCTTAAAGTAATGGAAGTTTTACTCTGTACTATATCAAATACATTACTGTATGTAGGCCTATTGGGGTTTTACTCTAAAGCCACAGTCTTCACACATCCTCAATAAATTGTAAATATTGATGCTGCTCAGAAAAATATTCAAACTTGACATTGTGATGCTGAGCATTTTCTACACATCCTAGTAGCTCAGTTAGGAAGATTGACATTTGAATTAACCTACTGTGCTGCTGAGGTTGTGTCACTGTGTATGCATGCATGGTACCTATACTCTGTCCATGCATAGCCATGCATATAGAAAATGTGAAGGAACGTCACACTGTGTTGACTGTTGCAAGGGGGAGGTCACCATGCTTGAAGGTATGAGCTGTATTTACCTGTATACAATCTTATTTTGTTTGGCTAAAAGTTGCTTAAATTGTCTCATTTTACTGACTGTGGTAATTCAAGACTGATAACCTTAGCTGACTGTAGCGGACCTAGAGATCCCGTTGACAAGAGTGACAGACTGAAAACGACTCCGCACCCTGATCTCGGCTCTCAGTTTTGGAGCTAACAATATCTAGCAGCTGTCAACAGATAACACAAACACTGTAGATGAATAAATTTTTATCCTGTCTGTGCTCAAACTGAACACTAAAGTGGAGGTAGTTGAAGATCCGCTACTGTATGCAGCTGTATGGGATAGTATTTAAATAACTTATAGGTGTGTGTGTGTGTGCCTATCTATCTATCCATCTATCTATCCATCCATCTATCTATCCATCTATCCAGCTATCCATCCATCCATTCATGGCAGCAAGCAAGATGCTAGCAGGCAGGGCATACATGGAACGCCATAACCGAGTGGCTGGCATAGTGTACAGAAACGTCTGTGCCGAGTACAAGCTAGAAGTCCCAAAGTCAAAATGGGATACACCTCCAAAGGTGTTGAGAATGACCAAGCTAAGCTAAGATCCTGTGGGACTTCCAAGATACGAACTGACAAACTGGTAATGGCCAACCAACCGGACATAGTAGTGGTGGACAACCAGAGGAAGAAGGCCGTAGTGATGGATATAGCAATCCCAAGTGATAGCAACATCAGGAAGAAGGAGCACGAGAAGCTTGAGGAATATCAAGGGCTGAAAGAAGAGCTAGAAAAGATGTGGAAGGTGAAGGCACAAGTGGTCCCTGTGGTAATAGGAACATTGGGGGCTGTGACCCCCAAACTGGGAGAGTGGCTCCAACAGATCCCAGGAACAACATCTGAGATCTCTGTCCAGAAGAGTGCAGTGCTAGGAACAGCTAAGATACTGCGCAGGACCCTCAAGCTCCCAGGCCTCTGGTAGAGGACCTGAGCTTGAAGGAAGGAATAAAAGACCGTCCCAAAGTGGGGGCGAGTGGGGAAT